TTTTTTTTTTTTTTTTTCTAACATGACTTTGTATCTCATATCTCATACTCTATCATTTTACTTATTTATTTAGATACTTTTTATAATTTTTATTTTCATTACGTATATTAATGTGATCTATTATTTTATATGCTTATTTTATGTGTGTAAACCACTATTATCTCATTTTGCTATCATGTGAATTTGACTTTTCCAAGGTTAAATGCTTTCATAGTTTGCACTTGCAAATAATTTATTTGTTCTCTCTTTCTATTTGTAAATGTTTATTTCAAAGTATTAAAAAAAGTTATTTTATTTTCAAATAGTTATTTGTTGATGTTGAAATATTTTGAATATTATTGATAACTTTATAAGATACAATTACTTGTTGTCGGCAATGTTTGTATCTTGTAAGAATATATCCTAATAACAATAATTTTCTCATATAGCAACATTATGCAAAAAAAAATAAATAAATAATAATAATAAATAAAAAAAATCAATCATTAATTAGATAAATATATCTTAATTTGGTTGATTATAAGTGTCGTTGTAGCAGAGATATCTAACACATATTTGAGCTTATTCTCTTTTAACAAACAAATATAAGGCCCTGCTCGAGTTCGATTCATTGAAGCTTGGAACGACTTACTCGTTTTATAAATTTAAAATCTTAAACAATTTGTTCGTGAACAACTCATTTCGCATAACAATGAGTTGATTCATAAATGTTTAGAGGATTAATATATACAACATTTTTTTCATTTATTCTTTTTGATATTAGTTATTATGCTACGTTTATTAATATTTTATTCAAACATAATATTATAACTACAAGTATATAAAAGTCTCAATAGGTTTTAAAAAGTCCATTATGAAAGTCTTAAAAAGTCACTAATAAAAATTCTATGAAAGTCTCAAAAAGTCTACCAAAGTCAGAAAAGTTCTACAAAATTCACAAAAGTCACCAAATTTAAAAAGTTTTAAAAAGTTCTTAAGAATCTCAATTGAATACACCCAGATTTGTTAAGACTTTTAAAAAAATATGGGGGTATTCAATTGGATTTTAAGAATTCTTACAAAATCCTGAGATATTTAATTTATTTGACACTGATTTGTTAAGACTTTTTAAGAATTCGTGGGATTTCTAAACAAAAAATCGAAATTCCACTTGAAATCCACCTGCAGACTTAAGATTTTTACCGCATTCTTTCAAAATCAGAAAATCTTAAAAAGTCTCAAATCTTAAAAAGTCTTAAAATGTCACTTAAAATTCTAATTGAATACACCCTGTAACTACTTTTTGAGATGCCCAAAACTCACAAAACATCTGATGAATTTTATTTCAAAATGTGCAATAGGCACGAACAATCCAATAAAGAAATGAAAAATGTTAGTTGGAGTGTGGAAGAAGATCTTGCTGTAATGTCAGCATGATGTTTCGTTAGCAAAGGCAGAAGGTGTAACAAAAATTAGAAGGATTATTTGTTAGGGGCATGCATAACAGAAATGTTTGAACAATCTCGATTGAAAAATCTAAAAAAAATTGGTGAAGAAAATTTCGAATCAACGAAATGTCGTTATAAATGCCTTAATGATAATGTAACCATGTGGAGAGGTGCATACATGAAAGCATACATAAATTAAAGGAGTGGAATGAGCATAAAAGATGTTGAGAAAAAAGTTTATATAATTTATGAAGCTGGTGGCAACAACACCAAGTTTACGGACTTTTATGCATTTGAAGAAGTTATGCGAAAGCATCCCAAATGAGAGCTAAAACTAGATCGAGATTCAACTTGTTCACGTTGTGAGTAATGAAGAAAGTCATGGAAATTCAAAAAGGTCAAGGACTACTGAAGATAAAGATTATTCACTTCCCTTAAATTCAAAAACTCAGTTAGTTATGGTTCAACGATTCCTCTTCCCGAAGGTAGAGATATGGCTAAAAGAAAAAGGAAAAATATAGCATCGCAATCTTCTTCCATTCATGAAGAGTTTACTATAGAAATTCGTGCACTAATAGTTACAAGAAATAACGAATATGATTTAATGACTAAAATAGCAGACGATAGGATGGAGATAGAACGCAAAAAAATAAAAATAAATCAAAACTAAAAAAATAAATATTATAATGTTGAATACATTGGCAAAGGACCACATATAGCCGAATGATGAAGAGTTGAAACGTTTTTTTAATAACAATTGAATTTGGAAACTCACTGTACTTTATCGTGATGTAACTTTAATTATGTCATTTTAGTTATTCTCATGTAAGCTTTTCTAGTCCTACAGTTTGATTCTCCTGTAAGTTGACATCCGCCCCTTTATTGGTCTTGCCTGATTTTTCGCGTCCTTTCGAGCTCTCTTGCAATGCCTCGAAGGTTAGGATCGGGCCCGTCTTGAGACAGGATGCCTATCACCTTGTAAGCGGATGGTCAAACGGAGGACTATAATTGTTTGCTTGGGAATTAGCTATATTGTTTAGTAGGTGGGAATTTGAAGAGTTCAGATTAGCGGTCGAGTTCGCCTGTAATTATGTAGTTAGTCGCGCTACGTGTTTTTTTTATTTAATTCAGGTGGTCTAAGTGGTACTACCGCGCGGTCACAAGGATTTGGTGGCGTTGTCGTCGACAGAGCCGCGTGATCATCGGGCCGAGGATTTTATGACAGAATTGCATCAGACACATGCGACGACTCGTACAAATTTAGAGGAGGCGACTGAAGCGTATAAGAGCGCAAGGATGCTCGTCGACGCCACGTGGATTTGAGGAGGGTGACTATGTTTGGACTGTGTTGACGGAGGATCGATTTTCTGTCCACGAGTATAATAAGTTGTCCGCCCAGAAGATAGGTTCCGGTCGAGATCGTAGAGAAGATCAATCCGAATGCTTACTGTCTACGTCTTCCATCGCACATTCACACTTCGGACGTGTTCAACTTCAAGCATCTGGTGTCGTTCCTTGGTGACAACACCGACGAAGATGAGATTGGGTCGAGTTCGAGGTCGAATCCTTCTTAAAAGGGAGAGAATGATGGGGAATGGAATTTTGCATACTCATTTTCTTGTAAGGTACATTAATTTATTAGGGCTTTATGTGATTCTATTTATTGACTTATTCTTCATTATAGATAATTGGTCAAGTTTATGAAATAAAAAATATTTTCTTGAGAGTTTTATCTCTTGTTTTCCGTTCGTACGCTTTCGCTACGCCATAAAGTTGATGTGATATAAATATAGGAGATAGGTTATACAAAGGAATATGTAGTTAAAAGTATGTAACTTGATAAACATTGAACTAAAGTTAATGTGACGTGTGAAGAGAATTGATTTACATTATTTAATTATAATTATAATATTAAAAAGAGTTGAGTTAAGTTTAATTTTGAGTTTGATAATTTAGAAACAAAATAACTCAATCGGCCAAAGGCCAGTGGCCGACCTAGGCGGGGGCCCGTAGGGGCACGGGCCCCTGTGCAAATTTTTTAAATAATTAGTGCCTATATAATTATAAAATAAAATAATTTTAGAGAGATTTTCTTAAAATATAATTTGTTTGCATTTTGTATTTGTATTATATTGTATGCAACATATATAGATGAATTATATCAATTTTCCACAAAAGTCAATATTGATTTTGATACATAACGAGTTTTAGGTGTTCTTAAAATTATAATTATAAGTTTAAATTAGCTAATAGATTGTGTTTGTCATCAATTTTTAAATTAATAAAATATTTATTTTTATAAAGAAGTCCACGAATGCTAACGTGTTGAGAAAGTCCAATTCAAAAGAAAAAAAAAATGTTCGTATTTGCATTCAATGAGATTCGAATTTATGTAATTATGAGTGATGCAATATATAAGAATATGCAGCGATTGAATATCTTTTTTTTTTTTTTTTTCGCATTTTGTAAAAGTTACGTTTTGTGCCCCCTCAATTTTACGAGTCTGCGTCTGCCCCTGCCAAAAGCCAAAGCTGATTAAAATCGATGTAATTGAAAAACCACTTAATATCATACTCCCTTAAGAGTTATTTGCATTCTTCAAAATCTATTATTTTTCAAAATCTATTATATTAGAGAAAAAGATAAATAATTGTAGTTGGAGAAAAATCTCTCTCTAATATGTTCACTTTCACGACCGACGACATAGATTGTAGGTTCGTTAATACGTCTCTAATCTAAGTATGTATCTACTCG